AGAGTAGCATTCCATTGTATAAATGTAACACAGTTATTTTATCCATTCATTACAAAAACCTGTGACTTCTAAAAAATTCTTCCTCAATAATGAATTCTCAATGAATCTAAAATTTAACATACAGGCATCAATATGAATCAGTTTTAATAATACTGGAGTTTACCCAAAAATAATAAAAACCCAATAACATATTGAAAATACTCCTTTGATAACCACTTTTTAAAATATCTAAAGTCATTCAGTTAAATGATCTAACAGGTCTGTGATCACAAATAAGAGATTCATGTTCTAGCTCAATGTTTTCCCAAGTGTGATCCATGAACATAAGAATGCTAGTTTAATAGATAATTACCTTAAACCTGAACCTACTGAATCAGACTCTCTCACTCCAAGTTGGGATCTATAACCAGAATTTTTTTTTAAGTTTCTTCATCTCATGGCACACAAACTAATTACTAAAATTCTTTAGCACACCAAAAAATAAACTGTCGATCTGACAAAAAAATAAGTATAATTTTGATTCATTCACACCAGACAGTTATTGATATGTTGGTTGTTGTCCATTTTTTTTCTAAGGGAAGAGAGGTCAGGGCCCCTGACTAAATAGTCAAGTATTGCATGTTTTAAAATTTTTTTGCAGCACCTGGGTTGAAAATTGCTGATCTAGAAGTCTATATTTCAAAATATTTAAAATTCACTAAGCTAGATGATAGATACAAGTACAGAAGCAAAGTCCCAGCAAATGAAAGAAAAAGTTAAATAAAGAAACATTAAGTTTCAGGAATAGGCATAGGTACCTTCTCTGAGATTTAATGCAAAGAAACAAAAATGAATGAAGGCACAGAGATTATTGGATGAGGAAAAGAGTGAGACTACTTTTACAAAATGGCTTCGAATCTCAAAAGGTTTAAAGGACCTTTCGCTTAAGGTTACCCAGTTTCTGAGTAAGGCTCCCTTTACTGGTTAACAGCCTTGTTAAAAAGGTTATTTGAAGAGCTATTATACATACAAGACCGATTACAAGGTAATCAGGAATAAGTGATCAACTTTTCTAATATGGTGTTTGGGTGGGAGAAATACACTCTTAGGATCAACCTGGGCCTAGAGTCACCTCTAAGCCATTCAAAGAAGACTGTGCTCTGATTAAGATCCATTCTCTCGACACCCCATGTTCCAATGCAGAGATAAAATCTGACTGCTGGGAAACAAAGGTGTCTTACAAATGCAAAGACTTTCTACCTTCATACTATTTGTCTGGCTAATAGACAAGGAGGTGAAACAGATGTGAAGAAACTGGTCACTGAAAATCTAGCTCCCTCGCGTTCTCTTTATCGCCCTTTTCCATCGAGTCATTCTAACCCAGCTTCAACCTCAAGCACCAATTCTCAACGTCCCATGTGATTTGAGAGCCTTCACTGCTGTTCAATGAGATTTTGCTCTTCCAAGAAAAGCCCCTAGCTCTTTTCAATTGTCAAAATCTACTTCACATATACCAGGGTCTTCTCAACCAAACACAAAATTCCCAACAAAGCTGTTTGGTGTCATTGAAGCATCTATACTGTATGTTTGACCTTCCTTGTTGGTAACAAGGACAGTCTCTTCCGTAGTCAGCAAGACAATCATATGCTGTATCCAGGGTCAACAGCAAAAATGATAGGTCAATTGCAAAGAATGTGCTTATGCATGCATATGTGTATACATGCATATATTCATCAACATGAATAAATAGATTATTTAACATGTATATATAAAACATAAATATTGCATTTAGCTTGTGAATATTTCATTTATATGAAATTACATAAAATAATGTAATCATTAAAAAATATGAGTGGTTAAATTTTAAGAAATCTATAGAACTTGTTTAATCTTTAGCAATCTAACTACTTTGCATCAAATCTGCATTTTGACTGTGTTCTGTCATTACTATTTATTGCTACTTTCTAATTTTTTTATTTTTAATTTTCTACTAAATGTTTTGCATTTCAAAATAAATTGGTAAAGTCAGACACTGCTATGACAAACAAATTCTTTTGACTTAAAAAAAAAAAAAAGAGGAACACATATTTGGCAGCTGTACTGAACATACATTATATTCTGGTATAATTATCCAAAAGGGTTAAAGACCAAAGAAAGAATCTGCTTGCTTATTAAAAATGCAAACATTACCTCAGTCATACAAATAGCCCCAAACTCGCCTGGCCGCTGCCTCTGCAGATCACCCACCAGCATCAGCATTACATCATATGACATTATGGAACAATAGTGAACTCTGTGTAATACTTGAATATATTGTTTTGGGAGAATAAACTGTCATTAACTTGAATAAAAGCTTTCTGAAATCAAACCTGGGGGGTAGAGCCCTCACTGTGTGGCCCTTTTACTACTTTGAGAAATAGCCTCATCCTGAAAGCAGGAAAGAGGGGGAAAGAGATCAGGGTATAAAGGCAACAGTGATGAGTGGCCCCTGCAGCCGCCCAGCGGACAGCTGGCCGGGCTTTAAATTACCAGACAGAACAATGTCAAAGCAGGAGGCACCTCAACAAATGCTGCACCTAAAAGTCCAAACAACCTCACACCCAACCCTCTATGTCCTATTATAGCCCAGTGATTTGAACAATGGGCTGTGCTAGAATTGGGAACTGAGTCTTTCCCTATGTACAAAATTTTGACACACTTGATGACCCGATGCCATTGCAAGATGGGCTAACACTTGTAAGCCATGTGACTTTTAGGCACTGAATTTAAGCTCTGAGCACCAATGTTTTAATCTGAACATATGAAAAGAATAACAGCTATTATGCAGAAGCATGAAGGGGAGGGAATTAGCTACTATTATAATTATACTTATTATTTCCACCCAATTGTCCCCTTTGCCTATCTTTTCCACTGTCCAGGATGCTCCTACTTACTTCACAAGTGAAACATGAGCATCAACTTCAATGTGCACTGGTTTTGTGTGTGTGTGTGTGTGTGTGTGTGTGTGTGTGTGTGTGTGTGTGTGTTCCTGCAGTCTGGCCGTTGTCACATGTTGCCATTTCTTACTTTCAAGACACTCTTACCAAGTGACTTCTCTACCTTCCAAATCTTAGATAACCTCTCAACTACAACTTGCTACTCACCAGCTTTCCTCTCTCCTGAAACTGTCCTCAATGCTCTCAACAAACAAGGTTCACAGAGGCGAAAAACAAAGCCAGAGCAACACAGCTATTAGTTGGTGGACGAGTCCCAATTAAAACCTCAGTAATCAGTGCAACCAAGTCCAACTGCACTGCATTGACTGCAGTACACCTCATTAACTATTCACTTTCAGATCCCCAGAGATTATTTTAAATCTGAAGTCAGCTTTCCTTAGTATCAAGCCTTTTCCTAGATGTTTCGCTTACTGGTCAAGTTATTATCATAAATTATAAGTTATTTCAAATACTTAAGAAAAGAAATATTAATCTCAGAAAATTAAGTATATTTCAAAGTTCTGAGGTAATCATTGTCATTTGTTTTTAGTATTTCCCTAAAGTGGGACAAAAATTGGTCACATAAAGCCTCATGCAGGGACTAGAAGAGTTTAGGAGAAAGGACGCAGTTAACAGCCATGAAAATTCTGACTGTGAGAAATACTGCGTGCATTTCCAGAGGGACAGAGTAGAAAGGTTTCCTTAAACCAGCAGTTGCCAACCTTTCAGACCTCAGAACCACCAGTTGGCGACTGCTGAGAGAATACCAGCTCCCACCTCTAAAGATAAAGGTTATATCTTTTAATGTTGTTGTACAAGGATATGTAGAGATGAAAATTTCATTAATGTTGGCTTCTTTAGAGAATCACATAATTCCTCAAAATTATGAAAACTAATAAGGGGATGTAATGTGTCATTTTATGTAAGAGCCAGAGAGTTTACCAAAGTCTAACTCTAAGGTCCGCGAGGAACAGACTGAAAGCCTGTACTGCCTCATTAGTAAAGCAGATGAAGTTCTAGAAAGAATGAGTTGATATATGGATCATCTATGAAGCACCATTTGTTTTTATATTTTTGTTTTTTAAGTATAGCGTGGAATAGTATAACTAATATAGAATTTGACATCAGTGATGAAGGTTCAAGTTCAATCTATCAGCAGCTATAGAATCTGGCACAAATCACTTAAACATATTTAATGATATAAGAATTAAAGGAATAATATGTGTATGGCAGGGGCTTTTAAAATATATAAATGTAAGATGAATTCTATTACTGTACACTGTACCAGGTTAATAAACCAGTACCTCATATTCATTTATACATCCTAATTTTTAGGGGAGAGGGAGACAGAAAGAGAGATTCTTATAGTAGAAACCCCACTCCATTACCAGTGCTTAATGGCGATATGAAAATAACAAAATAACAAAATAAATTAATATATTTACTAATTTAAAATTAACAAAAATATGAAATTATCAAATAAATAATAAGACTCATATTAAAAGGTAACTACCTCAATATCAAGAAGGCTAATGGTTTGTTTACACTCTCCCTCCTCAATATATGCACTCTCCTCTCAACTAATACAGTTGCCAGATTAAAAGTGTATCGGTGGTCATAAAGATTTCTTCTATGGATCTGAACTAACCAAACCATAGTCCAGACCATTCATGGAAATATAATAGGTAAGGGCTAACTCCAACATCATTTATTTATTCAGACCCTACTTTATACCAACCTCTATTCCAAATGCTGAGGATGTAACACTTGGAACCAATGCCATCACACATTCTAGTGGAAAAATAGAGACGGTAACCAAATAAACAATGCAGTATAGGACAATGATGATTAAGTGCTACCGAGAAAAACAGGCAGGGAAAAGGGCTGCAATTCTAAATAGGGCAGTCAAGGAAGGATTCACAGAGAAGATGCCATTTAAGGAAAGACCTAAAGGAGATGAATAAGGCACACAGATATCTGAGGAGAATAGTGGGGCTATGCAAACCTTTCCAGCAAGTCCAGATGAGTCAAAATGCAAGCCCTTACCTTTCAAAAGAGGTTGGAAGGTTGGAATCTCTTGCAACTTGATGACATCAGGATCATTGCTGACGTTCCGCGAGGCCTGGGAGCCCTGAGCCACAACCACAATGTCATCCATCTTGGCTCTGTGCTTAGCTGGAGAAGGAGTCACTGCAAATACAGTCACACCACTCAGGAGTTGCAATGTTCATTAGCCACCCCTGTCTCACCAAAGCTGTTTCACTGTAGTTATTAAAAATAATATCTTTATACCCAAAATGCTAACTGGATTTTTTTCTGCGGCAGGGGCTCATAAGGGAAAAGAATCATGAACTCCATTTTCTATCATAGTTTTAAATAACTCAAACATTACAGAATTTCATTATATATATACATGAAATTGTTTTTTGTAATTTAAAATATTTTATTATTTGGCACATAAAAGAATGAGCAAATTATGTTTTTGTTATTTCTTTGATCTTCTTGATGTCTGTCCCTATTTCACCAATGAGGATTAAAGGTACAAAGTTTGGCTGTGACTTGCCCAAAGTCAACAGCGAAGAAAAAGAGTTAGGAAAGGAACTGGAGGTCTACAACCTGTTGGTTTACATGACCCATCCCTGCGTCAATGCGATTGCAGAGCTGTCAAAGCCACCCATCACAGCACACCAAGTACAGATCCTAATTATGGGGGGATGGGGACAAACGCTGATACTCAACCCTAGATAATGGGTGTATTCCTGAGGCACCTTCACCCTTAAAGTTACGGGGATTAGTCCAAGGAGGTAAAAAGATAAATCAGCAGGTCCCTTCTAGGCTGAGGCAAAATTCAGACACTTGGAGGGCTGCTAGAGGCAGGTCAATTTCAGGTCTCGATGCAATCTACTCGGAGGGAAGTGAATCAAACGATCAAGGACTCACTAGTCCAGGACATCTTCCTCTCCCCAAATATGTTCCTGGCTGGGGCCAGAATAAACCTTTTCCACTCTACAAGGCAGATTGGCAAACTCATCAGTCAGGTTCTTAAAGGTCGATCCAAGGATGCCACAGAACTGCCCTGCCACCTAGAGGCTGGAGTCTCGTATGGCATGGCGTTCACTCTTCCAGAATCTTTTTTTTTTTTTTTTTTTTTTTTTTGCTCTTTAAGAAATACCCCTTAATCTCTTAGTAATTTACCTAACGCACCCAAGAGTTAAAAGATTTATACACCTGTCACACATCCCTTCTGCAAAGGAACCTCTGAGCCCCGTTTTGGAGAAGGAACCCGTTCTAACTTAGAAGTCCTGTCTAGGGTCCCTCCCCTGTGAGAACCAAATCTCACTGTGTCAGTCCCGAGTCCTAAAGCCAAGAGATAACCAGGTCATCTTTTAAACAGGCTGTGGCTGGGAGACACAGCTGTTTCGAACATAAATAATGGGTATGGGCGCCCACGCTGGCTTAGCTGCTGTCACGGGCACTCCCTTCATCAGGGGACTCAAGGCTGGGACAGATGGTGACTTAAAAAAAAAAAAAAAAAAAAAAAAAAAGGCACGGTGAGGGCTCTCGGAGCGTTCGTGTCCGCCGGTCTCCCAGACCCCACGAGGCTGGGAGGCAGCGCCCTCCGCAGGCCGCCACGGCCGCGTGGATGAAGGTGGAAGTTAGGGCACCGACCTGAGGAGTTCAGATCGTTGGGTCGGCTCTCGGCCTCCGAGCTCTGCTCGCTGCCCATGGTGCAGGCAGCCGCTGGCAGCGAACAGCGGGGAGGCGGCCGCCGCTCCGGCTGCGGGGCGACGGGCAAGGGCAGGAGCGGGGATGGGGAGGCTACATCCAGTCGGGGCGCCGCCGTGGGGCGCTGTGTGCAGGTGGAGAATGGGGAGCCCGGGCGGTGGAGAATGGGGAGCCCCTCTTTGGGGAACGGACGCGGCCAGAGGAGCAGCTCGCCCGCCTCCTCTGGAGGAGCTCCAAGGAGCGCGGGGCGGGAGCGGCAGGCTTCAGCCGCGCCAGCCACCGACGGGCGGCGCCGCACTCACTCACTCACTCACTCGCTCACGCGCCGCCCGCTCGCTGCTTCCGGGACGCGGATGGGCGGTGCCGGCGGCGCGCGGCCGTCAGTTCCGGGTTAGAGGGCCGCCGCCTCCCGCCCCAGGATGGGCGGGACCATTCGCCTAGGAAACTAGGGCGACGCCCCCTTAAAGGGCCCGACTCTCTGAAAAAAAACCAGACGGGGCCCCAAAAGGGTATGGTACTGACCCGTCACCTTTAAGCATCATTCACACATTAGACACTTTGTCCCTGTCGTTAGAACGTTATAAAATAGATAGTGTGGGTGTGTTTTAAACTTTATTTTTCCAGAGCAGAAGAGGTAGACTCAGGGTGTGAATCCACAGTTGTCTGGGTGGAAAGCTCCTGTTTCAGCTCTGAAAGCTGGGCGTCATCCCCAAAATACTAGATGGTGAAAGAAGGAGCTGGAGATGAGACAAAAGGGTATGGGAGCATCTTTGAAGGAAAGTAGATGCCGCCACAGTCTAGGCAACTTCCTAGGAGACCTTGACAATTATCGGCAAGCTGCCATTCTGAAACAAGCAAAGGCGAGGAAGGAGCACGGGTAGTGCAGAACAGAAACTGCAGTATGGGCAGGTCAAGGACTTAGACCTAGCAATGCAATGCCATCGGAATTGGGACTTTCTGGGATTCTCAGAACTTTGCAATTGATTCCTATTGTTTGCTTCATGAAATTTCCAGCAAATGCCCTGAGATTTTATATATCTATAATAATAAAAGCATAATATGCTAATTAGACCAGACATCCATCTGTCCTTCTGCACAAAGCCATGGCTGCAAGGAAAGCCCAGGTCTCGGGTGCCTGTTGGGGGCTGGAGGAAAACCAGAGCTGGGGGGGAGGGAGAAGAGGAGGGAAGGTTGCTCTTGCACGAATTTTGTGCATCGAGCCTCTAGTGTAAATATAATCTCAAAAAGAGTGCCAAATTCACTAACTAATTAAGTTCCTTCTATATCTTTTGCATTTCCCTTATTTTATCTTATTTACTTTTCACAACAACTCTGAGGCCCATAAACAGGAAAGTTGCTTATGGTCACTAAGCAGAATTAGTATTAATATTGTTTGATTTCAAACCTCAGGCTCTTTCCTCTACTCAGCATTAAGCACTGGGGGTGAAGTGGGGGCTGGGGGTAAGTACAAATGAATACAAGTTCGATGTACTGTGAGGATAGAACTAAAAACTGCCTGAGAGATCAAAATAAACTTCTTAGAGGTGGTGTTTGGCTATAATCCAGGTTCACACAAAACACCAGGCTGATAGGACTGGGAAGAACCCACTTGGTAATGTGACATTGCTCTCCTGGACACCCCTTCCATTCCCTCTAGATCTGCCTTCATTTGGGGTGGGTGAGAGAGGAGGCAATATGCTCTGGGGAGCATTACTCATATGCTGGCTCTTGTTCTCCCTCCTCCAGATCAAAGTATATTTATATTGTATTCCATAATCTACTCCATGCTAATGTGGTGATGTTTTTCATGCTTCTTTTTAGATGAACATTTCGTTCTAAAAGGGATATTCTGTCCATCAACTGACAAATGGATAATTATAGGGTGTCCCCCTAAAATATGTTTATACACTGTAATAGATGATAGCTCAATTTTGAAAATGAAATGTATTTTATTAAAGACTGCCATTATAAATTATTCAAAGTGTGTGTATGCCTTTTTTTTTTTTTTTTTTTTTTTTTTTTTTTTTTTTTGCAATACCCTATATATCATCCTGGTCTCTACTGATCTGGCTGAGACATCGACTTATGAAGATTTCCTTATATGAGAAAATATTTTTTCCTGTTCCTTTTAAAATTCTCTGTCTTTGATTTAGACATTTTTATTATAATTTGTCTTGGATACGACTATTTTGCATTGAGATTTTGGGATGACAGATTAGCTTGGATATCCAAATCTCTCCCCAGAACTTTGGGAAGTTCTCAGCTATTATTTCTTTGTAAGCTTCCTATTCCATCTTCCCTCTCTTTTCTGTCTAGGACTCCAAATGTACACACATTGCTTCTATAATAGTGTTCCATATGCCCCATAGGCTTTATTCCTTCTCATTTATTTTTCCTCTTTGCTCTTCTGATTAGGTCATTTCAACCGATCTGTCTTATAACTCACTGATCTTTTTTCCCTGCTTAGTCAAGTCTGCTGTTGAAGTCCTCTGTTGAATTCTTCAGTTCAGTTTTTTAAATTATTTCTTATGCTTTTTATCTCTTTGTTGAACTTTTCATCTTGTCCTTGTATTGTTTTGCTGATGTCATTAAATTATTTTTTCTGGGTTCTCTTGTAGCTCTCTGAACATCTTTGGGATATTTATTTTGAATTCTTTGTCAGGCAATTCCTGGATCTCTACTTTTTGGGGGACCAGTTACTGGAATTTTACTGTAATCTTTGGTGAGACATATTTCCCTGATTCTTCATGATCCTTGTAGCCTTGTGTAGGTGTCTGCACCTACAGACTCTATGGACTGTCTTCAGTAAGGGAAAATTTTTGCCTGCAGGTGGAGGCATATTGGAACATGCTGTGTCCCCCGTGGTTTAGGGGACAAATGCAGGGGCTTATAGTAGCTAATAAGTGATAAAACCAGGAGTCAGTATTCTAAAACTCATTATATCTCTAATCCACTCCAGACTAGCTCCTCCTCCCATGTCTTTATGTTGCCTGGCAATCCATCCATCCAGTTTCCAAGCCAGAAATCTGCTTACCCTCATCTCCACATCAACCAATCACAAATCTAGAGAGAATTTTGTCTTAATTTCTTTTCTATCTCTATGCCCTGTTCAGGGTCTCCTCATTTCTTGCAAAACAGAATGACTTTGGCATCACCTTCTTCAATCCATCCTACATGTGTCTGGCAGAGAGAATTTTCTAGAATATTAATTAGGTCTCTGACCTGTCATTGCTGTACTAAAAACCTTGAATAACTCAGCATGTCTTTAGGATAAAGTTTAAAATTTAGCATATGAGATGAAATTCCCTGAATCCTTAATAGTCATGCTAGTTTGTTTGAAATAGTTAGCTTTCATCTCTCTTATCTAGCTAGCTGAACATCATCCTTGAAAATTTAACTTGTTGAAAATTTATATCCACACCAAACCAGCACACACATGTTTATAGCAGCTTTATTCATAATTGCCCAAACTTGGAAGCAAATAAAATGTCCTTCAGTATGTGAATGGATAAACAAACTATTGTACATCCAGAAAACAGACTATTATCCAGTAATAAATAGAAGTGAGCTATCAAACCATGAAAAAAATTATGGAGGAACCTTAACTACATATTATTAAGTGAAAGAAGCCAATCTGAAAAGGCTAAATACTGTGTGATTCCATCCGAATGACATGCAAATGACAAGGCAAAACTATGGAGACAATAAAATGATCAGTGATTGCCAGGGTCTGGGATAAGGAGGGGAGGGATAAATAGGTTGAGACAGAAGATTCTTAGAGCAGTGAAATCTTTATGGTACTATAATGGTAGATACACGTCATTACACATTTATCCACACCCATAGAATGCACAACACTGAGTAAACATATGGTAAAATATGGACTTTACATTTGTCTGAGTATAACAAATGTACCTCTCTGGTGTTGATAATGGGGAAGGCATTTGCTTGTGTGAGGGCAGAGGTTATATGGCAAATCTCTCTTCAATTTTGCTGTGAACCTAAAGCTGTTCTAAAAACATCGTCTATAAAAACAAAACAACAAAACAAAACAAAACAAAAAACCTGTTGAACTTACATCCTTTCTATCAGAAGTCTGTATTAGCTGCCCCTCTTCTGGGCTTCCTTAGTTAGGATCTCCCATCATGACATTTATTCTTTACACAATAATTGATTCACCTGCCTCCCCCACTGAATATAAGCATCTCGAAGGTGGATTTTGTGTCTGACTGGTCTTCAATTTCCCCTGCAGGTATTTAATATGATACATGTTTTCTGGATAAAACACTTTTAAAAAAATACACCTCCACAGAAATGGGACTCCTAAGTCTCAGGAGAAGAGGATCAGTAATCTCCTCAGGCAAGCATGACTATAATTTTGGATTTAAACACCTACTTTGTTTTAATAGAAAAGTTCCTTAATCATTATTTTCATTATTAATTATTATTTTAATTATGTTCACTGTCATCAGTGAAAAAATGCTATATCAATTTAGGGATAAGAGATTCACTATATCAAAACATTGGATCTGAGGTATCTAAGTGAGGGGAAAGGTCACTTAGTGCCTAGTATGGACTAATCCTTACAGGGGATTCAAGGAACGTGACCTCTCTATACCCTGGACCCCCCAGTATATCATCTGCAGAAATAAAATATACTATACATCAGTCTATTGGCATCTGGAAAGTCACTCCGATGGGAAATCACTGGAATTTCTTTGTCTTTGATAAGTCTTTAACGTTTTTGCAGTATTACTGTAATTCAGGAGTAAGCTATCCTCTGAATACAGCTAGTAAGAGTTAGTTTCACACAATAAACCATTATTCATGGGCAGTCTTGGTGAACATATGCTTCCTGCAGTGATTGGTTAAAACTAGGATGTAGTTGCTGGCTTTATCAGGGCCAGAATAACAATCTACAATTGCAGAGTGCTTTAGGTTTGAAAGCTCTTTCATGCCTACCACGGTGGAGATATTGTCAAAGCTCAGACCTCTTGGCAAGTTGTCAGTGGTTTCATAATGTTGCATTTGTTTGCATGTATATGGGTGTGTGGGGTGGAGTGAGCATTGATGAAAAACACACTTCTCCAACCTATGCCCTCATAGTTCTTTTCCATTAACCCAATCTACAAATATACTTTAGATAACTATTTACTGAATACCTATTAAGTACCAGTCACCATGCTAAATGTTAGGGGATATCCTTTTAATAACTAAAACACACTGTTTTATTTTTAATCATTTTTCTATACCTATAAACAATAAATCCTGCAGAATCCCAAATGTCTTCCCTGAGGCTTGCCTTGCACATAATATTTAATTCATAAATGGACAACTCTCAGGATATGCTAAATGGGGGGGGGGGATGGAAATGAAACTGTTATCAAGAGAAGGGTGTTTAACGTCATCATTTACCATAATGTCCATCTTGAATCTTTAAACTTTCCCCCTCTAACTCTGAGGACCCTCCGGTGTCTCCTGTTATCGAAATAGGTTCTCCTGCCGAAATTGATTTGGCTCAGTGAATAAAGCTTCGGCCTGCGGATTGAAAGGTCCCAGGTTCGATTCCGGTCAAGGGCATGTACCTTGGTTGTGGGCACATCCCCAGTAGGGGGTGTGCAAGAGGCAGCTGATCTCTCATGGATGTTTCTCACTTTCTATCCCTCTCTCCTCCTCTCTGTTAAAAAAAAAAAAAAAATCAAAATATATTTTTTTAAAAAGAAAAAAAAGCGAAACGGGTTCTCCTATTTATGCCCCGTTAGAATGCACTGTAAGTTCTGCGCTCCGTGGTTGCCTGTGGGGACGGGAACTGGGGTGGGAGGTGGGGTGAGAAGCAGGCTTTTCACTGTATACAGTACATTTTGGCAGTTTGACTTCCATCCTGTGCCTATGCGTGTCCTCTGGCCCAGGGAAGCCAGCAGGTGCAGCAGCTGCAGACCTTCAGGCCACCACGAGGTTCACGCCCCCGCCCCCTCACCGTGCCCTTGGCCTTGGGGGGCGCGTGGGTGAGCGGGGCGGGGGCGCTGGGGACGAGGGCCCTTTCTCCGGCTCATCGCCCTGGGTCCCCGGGAGCCCGAGCCGCCGCCGGGACAGGCTCGCCTCTCCTGCCTGTACCGGGAGGACCGCGCCCTCAGGAGCCGGGAAGCAGGTCCGGGTTGCCGGGCCGGAATGTGCCCTCCCTCCCCCGCCTCCCCCACTTCCAACCTCCGCCAACTTTGGGCTGCGGCGGCGACGGAAGCAGGAACTTGCGAAGCACAAAGCAGCGGGGCCGGCGGGAGCTGCGGAGCATCCCCGCTGTCCACACCGAGACCCTCGCGCGCGTGGAAGCCGTCCACGCACCGGTGCACCCGGAGGCTCCGGGGTCCCCTCGCCGCCAGGTAAAGGCGTCCCCAGCCCCCTCCTCCCCACCTGCCCACGGCAGCCCCGCCGCCCTGCCGGCCCGGGCGAGGCTCCCCACCCCGCCATCCCCCCCAGCAGGCGGGGAGCGGGCTGCGCAGGAGGCTGACCCGGATCCCGGTGGCACTGGTGGCCTAGAGGCTCTCCAGGCGGCCGGCCGCACCTGTCGCAGATGGCACCGGCCCCGCGTCCTCAGGACCCGCAGGACAGTTTAGTGAGCGACAAGCGTTTCCCCCAAGGGAGGGAAATTTTCCTCTTTTTTTTTTTTTCTTGTATGATTTGTGTCCCGTATGATTTGTGTCATTTTCAAACCCACTAGTTGTCTAATACTCTGTGTGTGTTGTGTGTGTTGTGTGTGTGTGTGTGTGTGTGTGTGTACGTGTTGCTAAATCAGATTATGCTGTGAGTGAAATGATTTCCAATATTTGAAGTAGTTATGTGCACGTGTGTTTGACTATACTAGTAATCAGGCATGAAAGCTCAGGCGCTTCTTCTCCTGCCCACCTGTATCCTTTTCCCTTCCATTTTTCAACAAGATTGAACTTGATTTTGGACTTTGAAGGCCTAAATAATAATGGGTTAGAAGATTAATTTACCTAATAGTTGAGTATTTTTAATGAGATCAACTCTTCAGTACGTCTCGCTGTCTGCCCAGGAGCTACACAGATGTTGCATAGTGAGAACACAGCTTAGCATAGAGACTGGCATGTGAGAAATATAAACGTCCTATATAATAAAACTGTAATATGCAAATCGACCAAACAGCGGAATGACTGGTCTGTATGATTAACACAATAGCTGCCCCCTGGTGGTCAGTGCGCTCCCAAGGATTGGGAGAGTGTGTGTGTTTGGGAGGGGGGGGGACCGCAACTCAGCCAGAAGTCTCTCCTTCCACCTCGGCTACAGGTGGGCAGTAAGGAACAAAGGGTCTAGGACTGTGAGAGCCCCAGACTGTGAGAGGGATGTCTGACTGCCAGCTCAGGCCTGATCCCAGAAAGCTGACATCCCCTGAGAGGTCCTGGACTGAGGGCGCAGGCCAGGCTGAAGGACTCTCCCCCTCCTCCCCCAAGTGCATGAATTTCATGCACTGAGCCTTTAGTTCTTTATAATTTTATTGTTTCAAAAGTTAGACATAATAGTTAACAAGGTAGCTAATTGACTTGTGCTGGTTTGTTTGGTTTCTTGGTTTTTAAATTATTCCCTTATTTTTTACTTATTCCCTAATTTTTTACTTACTAAAGTATCTGTTTACATTAGAGTTCACCCTTTATATTGCACAGTTCCATGGATCTTGGCAAATATAATGATATGTACCCATCATTACAGTATCATATAGAATTGTTTCACTGCCCTAAACATCTCCTGTGCTCCACTAATTTTTTTTTTTTTTTTTTTTTTTTACTGCCAATGTAGTTTTGCTTTATCCAGAATGTCATATAATTGGAATTATATCTTTCAGACTGGCTTCTTCCATTCACCAATATGCAATTGAAGTCCCCCTATGTCTTTTGTGGCTCGATTTCTTTTTATTCCTGAATAATATTTCATTGTATGGATATATCACAGTTTGTTTGGAGATAAGACAATGGGCGGCAAGAAGAGGAAGGATTCTAACACTCAGAGGCAGGCCTGCTGTTTGTACCTCTTTCTTCACAAACACTTGTTGGCTTTTAAGCAGTGATAGGATAGTATGTGTGTTTGTGTTTATTAGTTCTTTGCCAAGTTTTTAAATGGAAGGTTGTCTCAAATCTTTTAGAAGTGATATGAATAAGAATAGTTGTTTATTTTTGCCCTATGAATTGTAAGTCATTGACATCGACTTAAAGGAAATGAAATGTATCGTTTCTAGATTTGCTAAAAGAAACAAAACTCACTAATGATTTTCTTTTTGGTCTAGAGAGAAATCCCATCATCCGTGCAGTCTTCTTGATGCAAACGAACACCAAAGGAAGGGTTACCCTTGACCTTTGAGGACTTTAATATAGAAATTTAAAATGTTCTTCAGGGAAGAACGGAGCTTGGCCTACATTTGTATAATCATTGGCTTCCTGACAGTCAGGCTGTCTGCCAATCGTAATTGTCCTACCCAGAGTCTAGAAGATGTTGTCATCGACATCCAGTCATCTCTTACTAAGGGAATACGAGGCAATGAGCCCATACATACAGTAACTCAAGAAGACTGCATTAATTCTTGCTGTTCAACAAAAAACATATCAGGTAAGTAATAGTCCCTTGACAACCCTTTATTCCATGTGTTTTGTGACATGAATAGCTGGTTGACAATGGCTCAATAGTTCCTATTAGTGATTCTCAGTAGGGTAGAAAGGTGGGTGACAAAATCACCCCAGGAAGGTTTCACAAGGGTGCCCTCTCCTCCCCTAAGCTGAGTCAGAGTTACTGATGAGTGTGTGTGTGTGTACCACTCAGGTGTTTGGGTATAAAAAGGTGGAGAACCACCCGTGTTAGGTTCTAACAGGCATCTGGAGTATTGAAACAAAAATGCTATTTAAGTGCTTAGCTGCCATTCACATGACACTGAAGGAAACTAAGGCCACAGGTTTAAACTATGCCTTTGCATATTTTAGGCTCCAAACCTATTACCTGAAAAGAGGAGTCTATATCTAAGTGAAACAATGTTGTTCAGTTGTTTATGAACCTGCCCTAATTCCCTAAATTAAAACAAAAACCAAACACCTAAATTTATTGAGCACCTAATGCTTTGCTGGAGATAAAATAAATGAGTTAGATGGACAAGGCCTTGCCCTCAGAGCCTAGAAGAGCTAGTGAACCTTGGATAAGTGATTCTTACTTGATTTATTAGCCAACAAAATCCTGTTTTCTCTGAGATCTTTACTTCCTTTTCTTTCTATAATGGTTGTGGTATAAGAAGGAAGGAAGGAAGGAAGGAAAGGAGGGAGGGAGGGAGAAAGGAAGGAAAGAAGAAAGGAAGGAAGGAAGAAAGGAAGAAAGAAAGGAATATTCTTTCATTACCATACATTTGATCCCCCTTACCCTCTTTGTCCTCCCCATTCCTGTTCCCCTCTGATAACTACCATTCTGTTTTCTGTATCTATGAGTTGATTTTTTTTGGGGGGAGTATTTTTTGTTGCTTTTTGTTTTATATCCCACATATGAATGATAACATCCGGTTCTTGTCCTTTTCTGCCTGACATATTTCACTTAGCATAATTCCCTCAAGAACGTGCATTTTTATAATTAGCCTATATGCCTCTTAACCTTCAACTTGGCCCAAGTGTCACAGACCAAGATGTGAGATTGTACCAGGTTAAGGTCAAAGCTAACTGTAGGCCATGATAATTAGAGAGAATAATTTCTACTGGACATAAGAGAAAGAGAAGCCAGAAATGAAAGTTAAGAGTGAAAAGCGAGGAAAGAAAGCAGAAAAGCAAAAACAATAAGAAAGAAAAGAAATGCTAAAAAAAGAACCAAAAGAAGAATGGCACTGATAAAAATAAAAAATAGTCTTTGTATTCCATATACTATTCAGATTCTTTGTGGAAGGAGGCATATTATGTATGATGCTGACTTTACTGACTCCATCCAAGGACACCAGGCTCATGCCTTCATATGTGTGTGAGATGCCTTCAGGATACAAGAGATATATGAAATCATTAGGGTTAGATCCATTTCTTTCTTTCTTTTTAAAATATATTTTATTGATTTTTTTACAGAGAGGAAGGGAGATGGATAGAGAGCTAGAAACATCGATGAGAGAGAAACATCGACCAGCTGCCTCCTGCACACCCGCTATGGGGGATGTGCCCGCAACCAATGTACATGCCCTTGACCAGAATCAAACCTGGGACCTTTCAGTCCACAGGCCGACACTCTATCCACTGATCCAAACCGGTTTTGCCTAGATCCATTTCTTAAGTCTCAACTCAATTGTGAGTTGTGTAAAGATTGCAAAATCAATGTTTCTATATATGTGGATGTATTTTAGCAATTAGAAGGCTTATTTCTAAATAGTTAAATACACTGTTAAAAATTGCCTTTGCCAGCCCTTGCTGGTTTGGCTCAGTGGATAGAGCATCGCCCTGCAGACTGAAGGGTCCCAGGTTCAATTCTGGTCAAGGGCACATGCCCAGGTTGCAGGCTCAGTCCCCAGTAGGGGGTGTGCAGGAGGCAGCACCATTCAAGGATTCTCTCTCGTCATTGATGTTTTTATATCTCTCCTCCCTTCCTCTCTGAAATCAATTTAAAAAAAACAAAAACCCTTTTTTAATTGATTTTGCCAAAATTACCTTCATTCAAGTTTTTAACCCAGTGTTTTTAAATATTGCTTCTAGTGGCTAAGCTAAGGAAAAGGAAATGATTCAGCAGTCAGCAAGCGCGAGAACAAAAGTGTTTATGTTGGACACCAGAATAAATGAGGTTCTTCCTGCTTGCTGTACTCTTTAGAAAATCCTATTACAAAATAATGCCTATGAACCCTTTCATTGCAGGGGACAAAGCATGTAACTTGATGATCTTCGACACTCGAAAAACAGTGAGACAACCCAACTGCTACCTGTTTTTCTGCCCCAGTGAGGAAGCCTGTCCACTGAAACCTGCGAAGGGTCTTATGACTTACAGGATACTGAGAGGTAACGAGAACATTGTTCTTTTTCTTTTGTGATTGGAATTATTTCAGGGCCTGGTCATGGGAAAGATTTTCTGCAAGAGTCTAAGTAAAACTGCCAAAAGAGGTCACAAATATAGAGGCACACTAGGAAATCCCATGATTTTAAAGTTCAGCTTTTTTCCAGGGAAAGACCTCCGAGTGATACGATTTTTTTTTTCTTAAGATAAAAGTTGCACAGTCCTTTCAGGAAACATTTTGAAACACCTCTTTAGATCAATGTCAACAGCACTGGAATACGTGTTTTGAAAGGGGTGAAGACCTATGTGAATATACAGAATTCTGGTATGTTTGTCATTAGGTTAGAATTATTTTATAATCACATTATCTGAAATCAAACTCAGTGGATTTTGTTGTGTAGACCTAGAGAGAAGTTCATTCAAAAATATTAATTGAGCATCTACCATATAATAAATTCTCCTTGCACATGGAACGTAAATATTTGTTCAGAATACAGAAAATAAACTAAAATAATCAATAACATAATTATTTGAATATATCTTCCTGCACGCCCCCTACTGGGGGGGATGTGGATGTTGTGGATCAAGTCCACAACCCGGGCATGTGCCCTGACCAGAAATCAAACCCTGAGCTCCTGGTTAACCACTGAACCACACCAGCCGGGGGGGATGTGGTGTTTTAAAGATTTCTTAAAGCTCACCATGACAGCTGTATTGGGAATGGACAATGACCCAGCAGCAAGAGGGGAAGTAGGAAGACTGGGTAGGAAGTGGGGGTGAGATGTAAGTGGTGGACCAGGGAGGTGGTAGAGGAGATGGAGAGAGAGAGACATAGGGGCTATTTCAGAGGAAGAGTTATCAGGACTCGTTGCTGGCATGGATGTGGGGGACAAGAAAAAGACAAGCTGCCCTACCCGGTTTTGCTCAGTAGATAGAGGGGTCGTGTGGACTGAAGGGTCCTGGACTCAATTCAAGTCAAGGGCACATGCCTGGTTGAGGGTTCAATCCCCACTGGGGGGCATGCAGGAGGCAGCGACCAATGATTCTCTCTCATCATTGATGTTTCTATCTCCCTCTCCCTCTCTCTTCCTCTCTGAAATCAATAAAAATATATTTTTTAAAAAGAAAAAGAAAGGCATTGAAGCTGAGTCCTAGTTTTTGTATTGAGTGTCTGGGTGGATAGTGGCACCATCTACTGAGCTGAGGAAGATCTGAGATATGGCTTCAGAGTTGGGAGGGAAAGTGCAGTCAAGGGCTCTCTCCTGACTGTATCACGTTGCATGTGAAGTACTTTGGGGAAAGATACTGCTCAGGGCACCTGAGCACTGACTCTGCTTCGTCCCTGGCTGGGGCTGTGTCTGAGATTCATGAACCAGGAAATCCTGATACGTCAAACATTCCCTGAAACAGCTTATTTGTGAAAATTGCTCATAAATATCAGTGTGAGCCCAAGTCTTAAAAAGACTGGCACGTTAAGATACGAAGTTCCCATTTTGCAAGATGAAAAACAATCTCTGAGGATGGCTGATGATGATGTTTGCACAACAGTGTGAATATGCTCAGTGCCACCAAACTGTACACTTGAAAAGGGTTAACTTGGTCAGTTGTATGTATATTTTATCACAGTTTGTAAAAAAGAGTAATTTTTAAATGACGATGAGTGGTATAGAACAGATTCGGTTTCTCAAAACACTCAAGACTGTTCTTTTTTTACGTGGTCTTGGCTAAAAACACAAGAGCCCTGCTGTGTGGTGTGGATGTGGCTTCTCACCGTTCCTGCTGGATCACCTGTTAGACACCCAGGGGTGGAGTCCATGGGAACTGGATATGCCAGTCTGAGTTTCCAAGGAGATCAGGGCTCAAGACACGGATTGGAATGTTTGCTCTCCTCCTTCAGGAGCTCCCGTCATGTAGAAGTTGGACCATCACATTCCTCCTCTATTATCCCTTCCCACTACCTCTTCTCCATGCTGTCCTTTCTCCCGCTATCAGTGTGTGTTCCCTTTGTCTGTTATCTATTTCACAATTAAAGCAGAATATTTAAAATTTATAGGTAATTTTAATCCAGTCATTTTACTGCCATAAAATCTAAAGAAACTGTATCAAAACAAGAAGAAGAAAAAAAAAACTATTGGTGTGGAGCTGTTTACCATATCATTAGTCTAAAAAATGAAAAACCAGAAGCAGCATAAAGGTTCAGTTGCCAGAGTATGGTTGGGTGGGAAATATGATTGTTTCACTTGAGGGAATATGATGCAGACACTAAAACTTAAGTTTGAGGTGTAGAAATAAGCAAATTCATTTAAATTTCTGGTGGAAAACATTCAGTTGTTTTTCAATTACATGAAAAAAATTGAAGTTAAAGGTATACGGACATGTTAATAGTGGCTGGAATGTAACAAAAATTACAGTTGAATTTATTTTCATTGTTATAATGCTTCAGTAATGTTGCTTATATATATATATATATTATTATATATATTATTGATTTTTTACAGAGGAAGGGAGAGAGAGATAGAGAGTTAGAAACATCAGTGAGAGAGAATCATTGATCAGCTGCCTTTTAAAAAATATATATATATTTTATTGATTTTTTTACAGAGAGGAAGGGAGAGAGATAGAGAGCCAGAAACGTCGATGAGGGAGAAACATCGACCAGCCGCCTCCTGCACATCCCCCACAGGGGATGTGCTCGCAACTGGAATGTGCCCGCAACCAACGTACATGCCCTTGACCAGAATCGAACCTGGGACCTTTCAGTCCGCAGACCAACGCTCTACCACTGAGCCAAACTGGTTTCAGCAGGTTGTTTCTTTTAAAATGCATGTATTATAAAAGCAGGAGTGTGCAGTAAAGATTCTCTCCAATGGAAATCTGAGAAAAGGGAACTTGGCATGCGCATAAACCTTTTAAGGGCTAGTGAAAAGGCAATGAAGAATCAAACAGTTCCTCTGGTAGCCACCAGGGGGTGACATCAGCCCAGAGCAGGTTGATTAATAGCTAGGTGCAAAGTGGCTCCAATCCCAGACATGGTGTGCAATGGACTGTTTATATTTTACAGGATGTTTACAAGTTATGTGTGTCATTCAGTTTATGAATCTGCCCATGTTGATGGATTGAGATTCCCCATCGATGTAAATTATCCACCTCCTGTTTGGAGTAAAATTAAATACCTGGTTGGTAGTGTGTTTCTGGATGAGCTCTATTTCCTATAAATGATTGACTAGTATTTACAGACTGAAAGTTTGAAAGATGGCAGTGTATTCTGTCCATCCTATAAAACTATTGCAGCTTGGCACCATTAAATTTTTTTTCCAGCTTGTGGGATATTATTTCTACCAAGTACTGGAATAAAATGGGAGTCTGTTTGCTCAGCTGGTTTTCAAGTACTAATCAGTATGTAAGTCTTTTACCTAGTTGAAGTCACTTAAAAATGAGACTCAAAAGAGGGGTTGAGGGCACAGACCTGTTTCCCAACTCCCTCTGTGGCCTGTCTCTCTGTGACTGAGAGAAACTTAAGTGGATGAGGTCAGTGGACCCGGTGTGCAGGATCCCTGTGTGGTTTTAGGATCTTTACCAATAGATGTATCTTATCAGGAAAGGAGACTGACCCTTTCTTTACTTTATTTACGCGTAGAGTCTTGGTGCACGAAATTCGTGCACTTAGGGTGGGGAGGTTGCTCAGCCCCGTCTATGCCTTCTCAGAGTCTGGGAGCCCTCATGGGATGTCCTACTGACAGCTTATGCCCACTCCTCACCATCTTGGGCCCGGCTTCTGACTGAATGGCACTCCCTCTGTGGGAGCGCACTGAGCACCATGGGGCAGCTCCTGCCTTGAGCATTTGGCCCCTGGTGGTCAGTGTGCGTCATAGTGACTGGTGGTTCTGCCATTTAGTCTATTTGCATTATTAACCTTTTATTAAATAGTATATTTGCTTTCTTGGGAAAGAAACAGCTGTTTTGGTCATTTCTGTCAATGGTCTTATTTAAGTTCTGATTTCACACATAATCACAGAGCACTTCCTTAGTCTCTCTCTCTCTCTCTCTTTTTTTTTTTTTGAAATTTTAAAATGAGATATGTTGAGTCCTGCTGTTTTTTATTTGTTTGTTTTTTAACATCTGATCCTACCTAAGCATAAAGATGTTGTTCATTTCATGGGGATGCTATGCCTATCAATGATATCAGCTGCAGCAGAAACTCTTCTTCAGCATTGTTGGAGGAAAGAGGAATTCCAGGCTTCTCAAAACTATTTTAGAGGAAAGTACAATATCCTTGAGTAGGTGTCCCCAAACTTTTTTCAGTCAGGTCAGTATGTCCTGCTTAGTCACCTCCGTCGTCGTAGTTGGAAAGCAGTGATAGACAATAGGTAACCAAATGAACATGGTTGTGTGCCAATAAAACTTTACGAACACTGAAATTTGAATTTCAGGTCATTTTCATTTGCCACAAGTATTATTTTTTTAACCACTTAAAAATGTAGAAGCCATTCTTAGGGCACACACCATACAAAGACAGGTGACATCCCAGATTCAGGCCACAGACCATAGGTGGCAAACCCCTGTCCTAGAAGGAATAGTATGTGACAATTCCAAAGGACCTCTTAGAGGTGTGAGGCTTAGAGAGCAATCACAGATGTTGCCGATCTGAAGCTGCCTCTGGATCTGGTCGTTAGGATAGGGGAGAGTGAGGTCTCGTTTAGAAACCGACATTGAGGGGAGTTGAGGAAGGAAAGGGGAAAGAGAACCGGGGAGAGCCAAAACCAGTTTGGCTCAGTGGTAGAGCATCGGTCTGCGGACTGAAAGGTCCCAGGTTCGATTCCGGTCAGGGGCATGTACATTGGTTGCGGGCACATCCCCGGTAGGGGGTGTGCAGGAGGCAGCTGGTCAATGTTTTTCTCTCATTGACGTTTCTAGCTCTCTATCTCTCTCCCTTCCTCCCTGTAAAATATCAATAAAATATATTTTAAAAAAAAAGAGAGAGAGAGAGAGAGAGAGAGAGAGAGAGAGAGAGAGAGAGAGAGAGAGAGAGAGAGAGAACCGGGGAGAGTTGATCCGCAAAGGCTAGGAAATTCCTTTGCTTCCGTCCTCATGTTTTCTGCAGTTCTCACCACAGTGAAATGATTAGTTAACCAGCATCGTAGTTCAAATGCTCATTCCCTGCCCTGATTGCTTTAACAGACCTCTGCAGTTGGAGCTGTGGTAAATGGCGTGTGTGACTGAGAGCACCGTTCTAAACCTTCTCGTGCCTGAGGAGGACCTGAGGCCGGTTCCTCTTCAGCAGGAATTAGGATTGTGTGACTTTCTGCTCTTTATGTGGCCATCGTGATTTCAAATATTGGCTCGTCGTCCTCAGAACCTGAGATACTGGCTCTAAAATTGTAATATTCGGGAACCAAAATTAAATCTCTCAGGTTGCCTCTCTCCCCTGAGAGTGGTGCTGAAATTTATTATTATTTTTTTTAATTGAAAAGTGTAATCAACTTCTTTGGCCTCCCTGCCTTCTCCCTGCCTCCTGATGAAACCAAAACCCCCTGTTCTCCTCCCCATTCCCCCTTGGCAAAGCTAATTGCGAGGATTCTGCCTCCTCTCCCCATTGTCCTGTGGCCTCCACCTACCTTTCTTGCCGGCCCCTGTCCCCACTGTTAATCTCTCCAGGGATTGCTTGCTCCCCAGTTGTCACATCCCAGCTGGCACCGCCTGCAGGAGCTCTGGCCTCACATGGACCATCTCTCTCCCAGACCCTCTGCCACATCCCCTGGCCCAGGCTTCTTCCATGGCCTTGGCCCCTAAGGCGTCTCCATCTTCCTACATTTCCTGCTGCCCATGCTGAGGTCGTCTTTGAGTCCCTGCTCCTCTCACCTCTTCCTTCATTTGCCTGACCCTCCTCCCCACATTCCTCTTCTCCTCAGTCCCATCACCCTAGAAATAACCCACAGCATTCGGTGGAGAGGTTCTGATTTGGCAGTGTGTTTTTTTCCCCATGTTGCACGAGTCTCAAAGAAATGTCAAGTATGAACAGTGTGGGATGTACTGAACAAGTGACTATGTGTTTTTTTTAACCCTATCTTATACATTTAAATCTCCCTTTTATTTTCTGTACATTTCCAGATGTTCCATCATCGGGCCAACCTGATTTGCTGAGCCAGAGAATCACTCCCACGCCCCCTCATCCAACAGGTGATGCAAAGCCCTCTGGCATCCTATGGAGAGATTCATTTTCTCAGAAGTTTGGAGCCTCAGAGCACTTGGAGAAAGTACTCAGGATTGATCCAGGGAGTACACCGTCCCCTGTTTATCAAGAAGGAGGGCATTCTCGGAGTTCCCAGTCTTCCTCTGGACAAAGAATAGGCCATCTGCTGCCTGAAAATGTGACCACGTTCCCCACCACGGTAACTGCTGCTGCTCCACACACCATCTCCCCCTCCCCAGAGCCCCGGTCTCTCTCCCCCACCAGTGCCCCAGCCGCACCGACTGTGTCTCCTCCACCACAGGTGGCCACCACAGCTCCGCCTGCAGCCACAGTCACCTCTCAGCCTCCCACCGTCATCTCTACAACTTTGACCCGTGCCGTGGTTACACCTCAAGCCAACATGACTACCACAGCCATCCCAACCACCCCCTTTCAGGCACCTACAGAATGGAAAGGCCCACTGGAAAAGATGCCCTTCAGAGAAATTTCCAACCTAACGGTGACCCCCGAGAAGGTCCATCACCCTGTGACGGGTCTTCTGCCAAATGTGGGATCTTCTGCTACGGATGAAACTGCTCCCCAGGAAACCGGGAAGACCAGCTCAGGCAGCTCCTCCCAGCGTGGTGTTCCAGAGAGTCCACCCGGCCTTCCATACGAAAAGTGGCTCCTCATTGGGACCCTGCTCTTTGGTGTTCTGTTCCTCACAACAGGCCTCGTCCTCTTGGGCAGATTGCTCTTGGAATCCCTGCGTAGGAAACGCTACTCGAGGCTGGATTATTTGATCAATGGGATCTACGTTGACATCTAAGGACAAAGCTGCATGTCTCTTAATTCATGTGGGTCCTCGCAGCCCACACGCAGTGAGTTTCTGCTAACTCGCTGATCTTGGGATTTTTGAAGGTATTTTAAATACGGTCAAGAAGGCCACCTCCCCCCCCCCGCCCCACTTTCCTTTTTCTTTTTCTTTTAAGGGGAGAAAGAAAACAAATAAGGTAATTTGTGTGATCTGTCTCTAAAATATTAGCTGAAAACAAAGCTTTACTTACAGTAATAATGTATAATTGCCATATAAATTTGAAAAATTGACTGTTTTTGGGGGGGTTTGGGGAAGTAATGGTTAGGACTTCTAGGCTCCAATTTGTTAATATTTCTAGTTCCAGATAAAGTCAATGACTTATGATCTTAATTCTAATGGGTTTACTTTCCTTTTGTATGTATACCAATGAAACTTATTCCAGATGTATTTCCTTCCAATTAAATATTTGAATAAATCCTTTGTTACTCAGCAATATTCTTGTAAGTCACATGCTCAGCTGGATAACTTTCCATGTATTCCCACCAGTAAATGATTAAATGATGAAAATATGTGATCTAAATTAAAATGAACATTTCCCTTCCCCTTTTCTCATCGATGAGCAAAGAGGTTCCTTTATGTTTAGGAGAATTCTTGCAAAACATTAGCCTACATGGAGACAATGATAAGTCAGTTCTGATGCCAAAATCTGCTTTGGATCTATTTTAGTTCCAATACTGTTAAAGATAATAGTAATATAGGCATTTTCCTATGTTTAAAACTTAACCATATTATTTATAAATCCTTATCTAAACTTGACTAACACTCATTTTTTGGCTTTATTTATAGTAACATTGGAAATAATAGATTGCTTAAAATTATTATTCAGTGATTAGTGTGTTGTAACTTTCATTGATTAATTATTGAGATGTCTGAGAAATGCCTTTAATATGCAGAGTTTGCCAGACAAGTTACAGTGGGTAACTATAATAAGAAGCCAGGAGGCCACCTAGGCCAGTTTGACATGAGCAAAAGCAGAAGTTTGGTCCCTTCCTGGTGATAAAATGGAATTCAGGTGAGAACTTTATACAGTGAACACTAGAGGGCAGTAGGTGGCTAATAAGTATAGCAAGGAAGGTAACTGCAGGAAATGATAGAAACGGGCGGACTGGTAAACATAATAGAATCAGGGACATAGAAAGGAATTGGACTAACAATTCTCAGGGGGAAGGGAGTCTGAGGGGTGAAGAAAGAGATTGGACAAGAATCTTACATCTATGGATGAAGACAGGGGCGGGGGTAAGGGTATGGGGTGGAGTTGGGAATCAGGTGGAGAGGAGATATGGGGGAAGAAGGGGAAAAGAGGAAACCTGTAATAATCTGAACAATGAAGATTTATTATTTAAAAAGAAAAAGAAAAAAAAAAAGAAACGGACTTTTCTCTTTCTTCATCTCTTCCTTCCAGTCCCCTCTCCTGGAATCCTATCCTCCCCACCTCCTCCCCCCTGCCACTCTGGCTTATACTAAGCTCATAAAGCTCATTAAGAGGAAAGCTAGTCTCCTGAAAATAGTATTTTTCACATATTTTCCAACTTAACAGTTTGACACAGATCTCCAAGGGGTTTACATAAGCTTTAAGTAGGTTGAATAAATAACACCTTGAATCAATTTAATTTAACAAGCATTTATTGAACAGCCACCTGTAGGTCAGAATCAGATTAGTAACTAAAGAGCCTCAGAATTTTTAAATTCTGCCCTCCTCCCCTTTTTGCTGGAACTGGTGAATCGTGGAAACAAGGCTTTTCTGTGGGTGTTTTTAAGATCTTTCTCCTGCTTCTCTTGGATCTCTCCATCTCCTTGCTTCATACAGTCTCCTTCGAGATGGAAACTTGATGGGGAGCCCAGCCTGAGGCCTGAGCTGTAGTCCAGATGAGAAATGCTATGGGGCCAAGCTCTGGCAGGTACTGGGGACGGATGTAGATGGTAGGGGAACCGTTTGGGTTTAGAACCTGTTTCTAAGAGTTGGAATAGCTCTTCTCACACTGCCCTCTCTGCTTATGACCCCGGCCACAGTGAATTGAGACTGCTGCACGGGGACATCAGAGGGGAAAGAAGCCTGCGTTTGTTTTCTTTTCAATAACTGTAACAGTGATTAGCTTAGCCCCGTGGTCGGCAAACTGTGGCAGATGAACCGTTAGCCACCGCCGGCCTGTGGACGGAAGGGTCTTGGGTTTGATTCCCGGTCAAGGGCACATACCTTGGCTGCAAGCTCAATCTAGGTTCTGGGGCTGTAGTTCTACACCCCTATTCTCTGTTTTTTCAAATGCGCCAGGCGCCTTCATGAGCCATGCTATACCCTCTGCTTATACATGCCCTTCCCCTTGTTCACCTGGCCAATTTCCACTCACCTTTCAAGACTCAGGTCAAACATCACCTCCACCACTGTCTTCCCAGAGTCTCCCTGGAGATGTATAATCCTCCCGGGTTTCTGGCATGGCTCTTGATTTGCACCATTAGCAAGACACTTCCATGGTATCTTCTAACATATCAGTTTATATGTTCCATCGCTAGACTGTGATATATTAGAGAGCGCTATTTCTCTGATTCTCCCATACTTAATAGCATGCCTGGCACACAGTAGACACTCCATAAATGATCACAAGTGAGTTTTAAAACCTGTTTGGTGAAGTTCATTCCTTTCAGCAATGAGCCGTAATGTGATCGGCTGTACATGCAACAGCTTCTATATCATGCAGAGAAAATCCAGTTAAAACCACTTATATGCATTTTTTAAGAGAATAGGATGCAATCCAAGCACACAGTGATAAAGTGTATGCACTTAACTAAGACCATGTGCTGAGGAACCAGTAGATAAGTATTTGATTTTGTTTATTTCTTCCCTTAAAGAGCAATTTACTTAGCCTATAGAGAGGGCGAGCTGACAGAATGTTTTTGCTTGTGTTCTCATATTTTTTTGTTTATTTTTAAATCTATTTTTATAGGTGAGAATGTTACAGATGACCCCCTATTTTTGGTTAATTTTAAGGTAACTTTTAGAGCAACTTATAGCCAAAGTAAGGTTCAGATTCTAAGTTGTCTGTCCCTAAATTATGATGTTAGTTAGCAAAGGAATCAAAGCTAAAACCTAGAGCTCCAGCCTTTTAATTGGAATATTCTTTCCACTACACTGTACTACCACGAACAGAGACGTGGAAATAATGCACCTAGCAACACACACCCAGACATAGTGTGGGTGTAGGTATGTGTGTCCATTTTTGATTTTCAATCTCATTGAATATAACGTAATTTATGTCTTTCATAAACTTTTTTTCATCTTTTAATGAGAAACATCATTTACATTTAAATAATAGGACATGATGACATGAGACTTACTAAATTCTGTTTTAATGATTACATGCAAATACCTAAAACAAGGACCAACAGAATTACCTATGCAACTTTACTCTCTTTTTCACCTTTTCATGTGGCTAATTTGTCTCCTCAGCAATATTGGAAGTGCCTGGAAGAGCAGAGCTTCAACTTGTATTTCCTTTGATTTGCAGGTGTCTGTTATTGTTTGCCACCTGTGGCTACCTGTGCAGGAAAGGTAAGAAAGATACGGCTCAGAGAATTGAAGGACTCGTCCAGCCTTATCCTTGCCTCTCCATCTTTGTTTTTACTGCTGTGACAGCTCCCGTTGGCCTTTGCATTCAATAGGTGAGCAGTAAACATTCATTGGTTTTAACATCTTATAGGTGCCTAAACTCTAAGGTTGTTGGCTTTTCTTTCATGGGATGAATGGAAACCCAAATGCAACCATATAAGAATTATAAAAGGTAGAAGTGGTGGGCCCTTCATAGGTCTGGCTTACATATGGGACCCCTCATTCCTCCTGTTCTTCTTCCCCTCTCTCTTCCCAACAACACCCTCAAGTCCTCAGGCCCTGAGACCTGTGCTTCCTCCAGCATCCCCTCTGCCTTCAGAGGCGTGGCTTCAACGGGAAAAGAGGAGACACAAGAATGGGCACACTCTGCATCTCCTCAGAGATGTGTCTTCTCACAATCACTGAAAGCCACTCACTCGCACCCTCAGAGGAAAAAAGGAAATCCAGTTCTGACAACACATACCCAATTGCACACATTTGCAGGCCTTTTTTTACAGACATATACATGATAAACTTTTTTTCTCTTTTAAAAAAAATTATATTTTTATTGATTTCAGAGAGGAAGAGAGAGATGTGTGTGTGTGTGTGTGTGTGTGTGTGTGTGTGTGTGAGAGAGAGAGAGAGAGAGAGAGAGACATCAATGATGAGAGAGAGCCATTGATTGGCTGCCTTCTGCAGGCCCACACTGGGAATGAAACTCCCAATCCAGGCATGTAGCCCTTCTGGGATTTAAACTGTGACTTCCTGGTTAATAGGCTGATGCTTAACCACTGAGCGATGCTGGCTGGGCTCATGATAAGCTTTAAAAAAAAGAAAATCCCAAACAACAAAATTTGAAAAGATAATATAGAAGAAATAGAATTTGGAATTTAAGATGCATAAACTCTTAAGTGAGGGAGTAAGTAAATGAGAGGGGACTGGGCAGATGAACCATTAGCAGCAAATGGATGTCATTGCTTCATATTTAACGAACCTATATACGGTGCTAAATTTATCAGCCTTAGCCAGTGTCCCCTCACAAACCACCAGGGTGTTTCACATTGGGTTGATCAGGGACAGTGGCACCCTGGCCAGAGGCTGCTGTCACACAGCCTTCTTTTCGGATGCCCCAAGGCAGACAGGAACCAGATGTGGTTTTGCAGACAGCAAGGAGCTGCGAAGAATCATTCTTTCCGACCTGACCCAGCCTCCCAGCAGCCATTCTCACACTCAAGTCAGGTGCTGCCTATCTCCGGTTTTCTCCCCATCCCCTTCAGTCCACATCGTCTGCCATCCAGGGCTCGGCCTTCTTATCTTTTCGAAGAAGGAAATCTCCTGCATCGGGAGGACTTTGTCAAGCGTGAGCACTGGT